CAGGATCAGACTTCACTGTGTGTTCACATGCGGGCGGGCTGCAGACTGTTTCTGCTGTTGGCTGTGAGTTAACTGCCGAAGGACAAGGAAGGCTCACAGCTTGCAGGGGTTCAACAAACCTGCCAAAACTTTTCAGTTCCTGCAGACTCACATCTCCAGCCAGCTCATAACCTCTCTTACAGTTTTAACACCAATTTGCACCAAGTCTGCATGCTTACACAACTAATGAATTCAGCTCCCAGAGTTTTGTTGACAAGATGATACAAGAAAGAGTTGCCAGTTAAGGAAGAATAAACTCCATCATCTGGCTTGCCTACAGTGGACTTGCATGCAAAGGGCTGTGGTTTCAGACCAAAGGGTGAACGTCTAGATCACTAATGTTACCTAAAGTGAGCAATCACATTTTAGGAGACTTAGCCTAAATATGCAACTGTCTCATGCCTGCAGTCTCAGTAACCCGTGTCGAAGGCCCATGGTGCCTGCTGTCCTGAGAGAGAGGGATGGTTTGCAGTGCAGAATGTGCAGATGATTCTCAGGCTCAGGAAGGGTGAGGAGGTGCTGCTGGTATCTCAAACCCTCTCCCCAGCCCCAGGGCACAGGTTTTCATTCCCTGGCCAGTTTATGTGGTTCAGGGGTCTCCCACTGCCACAGAGGCTGTCTCAGCCCCTGGGCACAGACATTTCCTGGATGGGTGTCTCTGTCAGCCTCATGAAGCTCTTCTGCTTCATATGAAAATGCATAAATATTCATGGTTAAGAACAAGTGACAGCAACTGGCATGTAGCATCACTGCTGGCATCTGTGCCACCAGTGGGGCTGCCAGCAGTGTGGACAAGCACCTGTAGCCAGGAAGGGGCTTTACTAAGAAGTTTGGCAGCAGATGGCAGGAGTTTGCCATTATGACATTCTCGCCCAGTCGTCAGGGCAGCTCAAGGAAGACATAGCATTCAGGCTGTGCTTCAACAGGTATTTCAGATTATTGAATCATTGGGCCTAAGCTCACATGCTGACATTTACTCACAGATACCTTAGGTGTGTCTCTGCTCACCCCACCATCTATTCCAGCTCCCCTTCCTGGGAGCCTTCCTGATCTTATAGCCTATATTCCCTTCCTAACTGTCAGCCAGCTCTGTGTAGGGGACTGAGTGCTAGTTTAGATAAGACGCATGCTACAAACACTATGCAGAGAAGCTGGAGCGCATGTCCTACTAGCACAATGTAACATGGGGTTTTCCAAGGTAGCTCAGGGCCCAACAGAAGTGTAGTCACGCTGGGGGTATCTCCTGGTGCACGATGAAAAGTGGGACAAAAAATTTGAGGAAATCACCACATTAATGTAGATATATTTCTTCTAGTGCCAAAGCTAACAACTGAGATGTGGTTGAGGTTTCTTTTTCCTGTATTGCTGCACATAACCTATCTTGAGAAGAAAGCACACTCTGCATCATCCTCTTTTGTCCTTTGGGACATAGGGATAAAGAACTGAAGGGCTAAAACTAAATAATATAGCCCTTTACAACAAGATCTCTTGCTGAAAACAGAATTTGGTTCCCAAAATGTTAGCAATGGTCGTGGTGACCTGTGAGTTTTTCCTTACAGTGTTACCATTTGCATGCAAAATGAACATGTGAAACACTGGTCTGTGAGACACAGTGCCACAGAGGTGTGACCTAGGGACCAAGGGAAGGACTGCTCCACACCAAACCATAGGTGTCTGCAAGGTGGGTAGCACATTAGTAGCCCATGTGTGTGACAGATCCCTTCTTCTCTCTCCTGTGAATAGCTGTGAGGACAAGACTACCCTGAGGTGAGAAAAAAGTCATGGCAACACGTTATTATTCCCCTTAACACTGTTCTCCATTCACAGCTTTCAAAAACAGAGAGTATATTTTGGGGATGGAAACTGCGAAATTGATCAAGCATCAAAGCTAATTGGTCTTTTCAAAGGCAAGGCCTGTGTTTGGAGCAAAACCAAACATCGCAGTCTGACAACACTCCTCTTTTCTGTGGACATGACACCATTATTCCTACATCCAGCATGGGGCCACAACAGAGGGGGAGGTAAGCCAGGTGAAATTGTCCCTGGGACCATGTCCCCATGCCAGATTGACTGGGTATGAATGACTAAAGTCAAAATCTGAAAGATGGAATTGGTATCCCTGTTTTTTTCATGGTGCTTCAGGTACACTGGGTCAAAATATTTGCTTTTCACCTCTGGGAAGCTGGACTTAGGTCGATTCTGGGAGTCAGAAAATAACTGCAATGAGGAAGCACTGGCTGGGGATGTATCTGGACCTATGCCTTTCAGTGTCCCTCTGGAGCCAGGTACTGCCCAGCAGGTGCCACCTCCATGGGGCAGCATGAAAGTGTGAAACATGTACAACAGTGGACAGGATGCAGCCGCATTGTCCAACCCCCTTAAGTCCACTCATGTCTTGAGAATGGCCTTTATAAAATATAAATATTGTTACCATAAATTCAGTCTCAAGAGAACCCTCTAAGACTTAGTTTGAAGTTTTAGAAAGCAGGCATTCTCTATTGCAGTGCTGGATGCACGGAGGATCATTCCACCTAATGTGCATGCCAAAAGACAAAAGCACACATATACAATAAAATAAATTACTTTTCGTGTGATTTCTGAGAAGTACACTCGTATTTTCAAAGGTGCATGTATTAATACATTGTGCAAGTGTACTAAAATTTGGGGAAAGGTCTCTGAGGGGCTTCCATGGGGGTTTTCAGTGGTCTGTGGTTGTCCCCAGGGTTGTTGAAGAGGTGTCTTAGTGTCCTTTCCATGAACTCTTTTTTTTTTTTCATATATGGCCTCTTCTTGGCTCATTGCTGTCTGTAAAGTTTCTCAGCTTTCTTATATTTGGCTCCCACAGGTATCTGTTGGTTTCTCTACCCTCTCCAGGATGCACCCATCACACTTGCAAAAATTATGTCCTTGGGTGCTTTCTTGTTTGAAGCCCCTTACAGCAATTAGCACCAACTGCTTGCAGGCATCAGGTAGAAGGCATCAGTATGACTAAATAAACATTGAAGACCTATGCATATTGAGGTATGAAAGAGAAAGGTGGCAACAGGACACTTGAAGAAGTGTAACTACTGTAAAATTTTCTTTAATAATTTATTTATCTGCTTAATTTATAAATGCCTACACCTAGTGACTCTTAAGGAAGGTTTCTGAAATATCAGGGCAGATCTATTATTTGCCACAGGAGACAGAATTCTATTAAAGAAGCCTGGTGGTCTAACAGGCTGTGTCTAAACACTTTGTCAGTGTGCCTTGCAGCTCTGTACCAGGGTTCATCTTCTGCCATGGTCCACAAAGAAGGTGTTTGTAGAAGCCGTTCCCCTTCCTCTCTGGCCTGCCTGCCCGGTTTTCCTCCCGTGGACCCTGTCCTGGAATCTTGGCCTAATTCAGAGCCTGGAAGGGGCAGGGACACGCCCATGTTTGATATCCATAGAACTACTGTTGCATCCGCTACTTCACAAGTGACTGTGAAGCCCTGTAGTCTTCAGGTCTGTCAGTGCTGAGTAAGCTGCATATTGACTGCCCTGAAAACTCCAGGGACTAGAGGGGAAAGGTCTGTCAAGTTACTGTCTCCATGTTTTGTCTAACACAGAACTGTTCCTATTCATATGTGATACGATGTGAACCGTCCAGTTGCAAATGACTCTGTAATTGAGCTCCAGTAACATTTAAATGATTTTTCTGGCTTGACAGAGCCTCTGTACCAGGATATTATTTTTAATGCTAAGCATGCACTTTCTTCCCTTCATTTTCTTCCCAATTTCTGTTGACTAAAGCTTGTAAAACTCTTCAAATAATTCCTTTGTTCCACTCATAGCTCTTGAAAAAGTCCCCTATTCTTCTTACCCTGACTTATAATTTAGCATTTACACACATTTACTTTTAATACGTCTCCATAAATCAATACCACCTGCTCCTTAATAATTTTCATTGTTCTTTTCTAAATCCCCGTCAGTTTGATTTCTCTTTCTGGTTCTGAGGTTTGCAGACTAAATGATCAGCAGCCTGTGTACTGTCTGGTCGGTGCAGGGTACAAAGGGTCAAGCAGCACTTTAGGTTGTGATATATTGCTTCTATACATGAAATTGAAAATTTAACTGTGTTCTTTTTTTGATGTTGGTTGTTTCTTTTTTTGGGGGGGGGGCACTACTACATTGCATTGCAAATTAATGTTCAAATTACTGCCCGTTAATGTCCATGGTCTTCTCCAAGTTTGTTTCTGCATATGGTGTCCCTCCACTCTGAGGCTTGAAGATAATGTACTTGGCTATGACAGATGCTACATTCCCTTGTTCGGGTGCAGTCTTTTAGGGTTTCTCCCTTTTTATTATTATAGAAATAAAAAAGCCCGTTATGTGCCAAGCCTGTATCAAGCCACATGCAATGTCAGAAAAGTGAGTTTTATGCCAAAGAGCAGCGTTGTCCAGAGCCAGAGTATCCTCTGTGCTGCAAAAATCAGACATTTCACTCAAACCTTATTAATGAATGAAACATATATATATGTGTATATATATATATATATATATATATATATGAAAATATGGTAAGGTTTTGCTGCGCCCCCCTGCCAGGATGCTGCTGCACCCAGGGGCGCATCACAGCCAGCTCCGAACCTCGGAATAAGCCCCGGCCTGCAACCCCGACCAGCCATGCTATAGAGGGGTGCGGTGCTGGAGTTGGCTGGGGGTGTGTGTGTGTATGTGTTTGTTTGTCTGTCTGTCTCTGTGTGTGTCTGGGTGTCTGTGTATGTCTGTGTGTGTGTCTGTGTGTGTGTGTCTGTGTGTGTCTGTGTCTCCGTCACGCCCCCTAGCGTCCAGCTGCTGCGCTCTCCGCCTCCCTTGAGCGGCGGCGTAGTCCCGCCCCCTGCCCCGTTGCGAGTGGCTGGCGGGCGCCCGCGCCCTTT